TGCCCAGGCGGGTCTCGAACCCGCGAGCTCAGGCAATCCACTCACCTCAGCCTCCCAGGGCGCGGGATTACAGGCTGAGCCACCGAGCTCGCCGGTTTCTTAATTGTAACAAACATACCAAACTAATGTAAGATTTAACAACAGGGACATGAGATGCAAAATACATGGGAACTGTAAGTACTATCATCGTAATTTTCTACAAATCTAACACTTTAAAAACAGTGTAATTTTTTTTTTTTTTTTTTAAAGTTGGAGTCTCAGTCTGCCACCCAGGCTGGAGTACGCTGGCACCCAGGCTGGAATGCAGTGGCAGCCTCAACCTGTTGGGCTCAGGTGATCCTTCTGCCCCAGCCTTCCAAGTAGCTGGAACCATAGGCATGTTTTTTGTTTTTTTTTTTTTTGAGTTATAGTCTCACTCTGTCACCCAGACTGAAGTGCAGTGGCCGCTCCTGGCCTCCGCAACCTTGAACTGCTGGGTTCCTGCGATCCTTCCGCTGTAGTCTTCCAAGTAGCTGGAACCACAGGCGCGCGCTACCACGCCTGGCTAATTTTTGATTTATTGTGGAGATGAGGTCTCACCAAGTTGCCCAGGCGTGTTTCAAACCCCTGAGCTCAGGCAATCCACTTACCTCGGCCTCCCAAAGCGCTGGGATTACAGGCTGAGCCACCGAGCCCAGCCACTCGGTGTAGAAAATCACTCTGTCATAATAAATCAAAAAATTAACGAGACTGTCACAGCTCAGGCTGGTCTTGAACTGCTGGACTCAGGCAGTCTCTCACCACTGCCTCCCAAAGTGTTGGGATTACAGGCATGAGACACCATGCCTGGCAAAAAGCTAAGTTCTAAGGGACCCAGACCTACATGTCTGCAGTGTAAGACAGAAGGTACCAGATATCAGGATACTTACTTCCTGAGGATGATGACCGCTCGGCGCTCCTTGATGTCCTGAGGCCGTATGCAGTGAGTGATTTCATCAGCAGCATATCCACTGAAAAGAAACATAGAACATGTGACCACAAAGAGTAGACAGACACCAGAGCTCCTAGGGGATAACAGGACAGACATATGGCCCAGGTCTTATGGCCACTCCATTATTTGAGTGTTTCAAGAATCTACATGGAAGGGAAATACCACGTTAAACTCCAGGAAGCTTTTGCCCAAAAATTTACTCAGGGAAAAACTTGCTATGAGAAAAAAGAAACCCATTGACTTTTTTTTTTTTTTTTTTGAGTTGGAGTCTCACTCTGTCACCCAGGGTGGAGGTCAGTGGCACACTCCTGGCCACCACAGCCTCAACCTGCTGGGCTCCGGCGGTCCTTCCGCCTCAGCCTTCCAAGTAGCCGAAACTACAGGTGTGCGCTACCACACCCAGTTAACTTTTGATTTATTGTAGAGATGAGGTCTCACCAAGTTGCCTGGGTGGGTCTCGAACCTGCAGGCTCAGGCAATCCTCTCGCCTCGGTCTCCCAAAGTGCTGGGATTACAGATTGAGCCACTGAGCCCGGCCAGAGCCATCGACTTCTTAGCGCAGAGGACCAAAGCAGGACTCTCCCCGCACAGGACAAAAGTTCTTCATTTTAAAAGGCCCTTGAGAGGGCACACCTTTTGTGGCTTTGGTGGCAACTGGAGTAGCTCAGGCAGGACCTTGGTGAGAAGACACACAACTGTATCTCGTCCTCATCCCCCCCATTTAGGCACACAGAGGAAGCCAAGACAGCCACTGACAGCACTGAGTCACCAGGGAGAACTAGGACTACCATGTTCCAAAAGAGAATTTTTTACTTGAAAAAAAAAGCTTTTAAAAGCCTCCATTTGGGGGAAATCTAAAGTGTTTAAGACAGCTGTGTTTGGGTTATTTTAGGAATTTCCATCACATCCAAGTATCTATTTTCAACAAGTTATATGACTTTTATAACTTATAGGCCAATAAATGTGAGTAAACGACTGTCCTCTTTCCTCTTCTCAGCCAGTGTCTTTCTGATTTGAAACTCTGGAAGCAAGCTCTGCTTCCCAAGCCCCTCATATTGGGAGCATGACACCCCACAAGATAGCTCCACCCCAAGTTCCACTACTAAGTTGTGGCAGTTCTTCACAGCCAGAAACTCATTCAGCCACAGGCCTAGTGGGACAAGTGTGACTTCTCAGCTTTCCCACCTGCCCCTGGTCCACAGAACCTTCTCTCATGGCTGCTGATCAGCTCCCTTCTCAAGGGCTAGTTGTACATGCTTAACTGGTTTCTACACTGCAGGCCTAGGAGAAACTCCTCAAAATAGCCAGGCTGGCTCAGTCACGGGCAAGAACTAGACACAAGAGCGAATAAGAGATAAAAAGTCAGGCTGCTTCAGGCTCAGTCCCGAGAGGGAGACATCTCTGGTTTGTAATCTGATTTGAGGTCATGCTGGTGATTGAATAAAGAACCTTTATTTCATAGACTCCCACCCCACCCTCCCCTACCACTCAAGCTGCTCATACATCAGAGATTTTAAAAATTTTATCTGTGAACACCAGTCCCATTAGACTGTGGACTAGGCAAACATGGTGGCTCACGCCTATAATCCCAGCATTTTGGGATTGCCTGAGTCCAGGGGTTCGAGACCAACCTGAGAAACTTGGTGAGACCTCATCTCTGCAATAAACAAAAAATTAGCCAGGTGTGGTGGCTCGTGTCTGTGGTTCCAGCTACTCAAAGGGCTTAGGCAGAAGAATTGCCTGAGCCTAGCAGGTTGAGGCTGCGGTGGCCTTGAGTGTGCCACTGTACTTCAGTCTGGGCAACAGAGTGAGATTCCGATTCAAAAGAAAAAGTAAAGAATCTGATAATTACTACAGCAATAGAACCTACTGACTTTGCTTAACTAAGCACTGACCAAAGAATCTTCTCTTAAATAACATCATCCCACAGAGAGAAGTGCCACACAGGAGCTGGGAAGTTGAAAAGACTTGAGCTTTGTCACCTGCTAGTTTTGTGACCTTAGTTAAATTATACTCTGAACCTAAACCTCAGTTTCTTCATCTGTAATAAGAATAGCAGAATGAGCCGGGCTCAGTGGCTCAGCCTGTAATCCCGCGCCTTTGGGAGGCTGAGGTGAGTGGACTGCCTGAGCCC